TTATATATATTATAGAGAGAGAGAGAGAGAGAGAGAGAGAGAGAGAGAGAGAGAGAGAGAGTGATGTAACATGTGAGTTTCTATATAGTTGTGTATTTTGTGGAAACTCCACACACCTTTACATCCTTCACAGGTGAGAGCATTGTAGTGGTATCCAGATGCCTTGTCTCCACAGACTACACACAGTTCCTCCCCTTTGATTCTTCCGGCTTGGCTCAGGTGCCGGTTCCTTTTGCACACAGCAGGCACAACAGAGGACCCCTCGTCCATATCGGCCCCATAACTGCCCTCCAGGGGCCCTTTCCTCAGTTCATACAAGCCCATGTGGGAGTACCATTCGTCTCCACCGTATGGAGGGTAATAGTTCTGAGTGGAGTAGTACGGAGTGGTGGACATGTTTGGTTCCATGGATGGATACTGCATGCTGGGGTACGTGGTGAATGGTAAGATGTCAGAGTCCTGTAGAAGTGGACTGCTTTGATCTGCCAAGATGTCTGAAAATGGAAAAAGGGAAAGACTTTAGAAAAATAAACAATACAGATTTTATTGAGCTCTCGAATAGCCATAAATTTAACACCCTCAAAGGACCTATTGAGACATTTTGTGTTATATTTTAACATTTCCACACGGCCATTCTCACTGTGCACAGGGCCCAAACATGCTAAAATAAAGATATAAAAATGCTAAGTTTTGTTTCTTTGGTTCTTTTTTATATTGAGACATGCAAAAGAACCAAAAACCTTAAAGTTAATTTCCATTCTTCTTCTACCCCTTGTTGATCAGGGTCATGACGTGCTGGTGCCAATCTCCAGCAGTCTATGGATTAAAAGGCAATGTACACCCTGGATGGGTTGCCGGTCCATCACAGAACAACAATGATACATACAACCATGCACAAACAATCTATCTTTGTGGGAACTATTGACTTCCATTCATTTCCCACTTAGTTCTACGGCCTAACCATTACCAACACGTACCTAAGCCTAAACAAAACCTAAACTCAATTCACACCTTAATCCTAAACTTAACCCTCATTCCAAGAGGAGAACTTCCACTCATGAGGACCAGTCATTGACCCCTAAAAGTATCTATAAGTCCCCAAAATGTAGTATATTCCTTGATTCCCAACCAATTAACCAAAACATGGCGACATGTATACACGTTCACACTTAAGGACAACTTAGAAATGCTGATTAACATAGCAGCCATGTTTTGGAATGTGGGAAGTAGCTGGAGTACCTGGATAGAACCAATACATGCACAGCAAGAAAACATAAAGTCTATACTGAATGATCTTTGGCTGGGAATCAAACCCAGGACCTTCCTGCTGCGAGGCAAACCAAGCAACAGACTATTCTACCATGCATTTCAGTAAAATAATTCAGTTTGCATACAACCTTAAGTATGCTTTTGTTATGCAGTAACATATATTAAAAGATTGAACAAAAAATATCTTAATTTCACTGGAAGAACCAAAAAAGAATCAGCCACATTTCAGAGTAAGTTAGGAAGTGTTTTTTTGATGGCCAATGGGAAAACATTTGATTTTCTGAATTCTTCTCCCTCAAAATGTCCAATACAAGCAAATTGGTGGATTATTTAAAATTTGCCTCATAGGGAATAACTTCTAGAATATAAGGCATCTTTTTCAGACTCTCTTATGTAAGCCAGCTGATAGTTAGCATTTTATTACCTTCTGTAGCGTTATTATCAGTATCAAATTTATCTATGTTATTTTATTTTGTTTTAGTAATATCATTAATATATACATCTCCTAATCTCAGGTATGAGGTCAAATGAAGCTTCATGTTCAGTAGGTAGCGGTTTGTCCAGCTGCCAAGCAGCTGCTTGGAGTCCCCTCTGTCTTGGTCATGTCAATGAGCAAGACACTTCACCAACCTTATCATATGGTTTAAAACCTTTTAGTTTTTTTGTTGTTTCAGATAATTAACTAAATATATAAGGTAAAGCCTGCAGTTTCACTTTCAATTTCAAGCCTCCACTATAATGGAGTGAGAAATATCCATAATTTTAGTATAGTGTAAGGCCAGTTCTATACCAATGGGACATATTCCATGGAAAAAATGTGCTCATACTTTTTAGGTTAGTCCGAACAAATTGTTGGGATCTGGAGGTCTGTTCACCTTTCTCCAGCAGAGGGCGTTCTAGGTCTCCTGGGGCTGAAGCTGACCACCACACCTGCGGCTCATGAGCTCATCAGGGGACCAGCATTTAAGGAGGGGCAGAGCTACAATCCGACACCAGAGTGTTTGCCAGTTATGGTTAGCAAGCCTGAGCCAACCTGCCTGTCTGAATCTCTGACTCCCCTGAAGCCTGAACCTAATCTGCTTTTTGTCCTCTCTGCTTCTCAGGAAGAACCTGCCTGGAAACCCAACTCAGTCTGAAACCTGCCTGCCCACTCTCATCAAGAGCTGAGAGAGAAGCTCTGAACCTGCTCAGTAAGATTATCTGCTCTGCCCTGCCTCTGCCTAGCCCTCTGCCTGCCTTCAGCCTCTGGACCCTCCTGGTTCCCCCCTTCTACCGCTCTGCTCAACCTCTGATCAGGTATAGACTTGCAAACATCAAACCTGCAAGTTCACTGAAAGACTGCTAACCAATCTGTCCCTTTCTGCAGTGAAAACCAGTCGTGACCAGACTGGACCCAGTTTATCCCAGAACCAGTGTTTTTTATTGTGATTTACTTCAATAAACCTTGTGAACTTTTTCCCAGTCTCTGAGTGTTCTGCATGTGGGTTAGATTCCTGAAGCCAACATGACACAAATTCTCACTTCACTCCAGCATCATGTCTCCCTAAACTATCCCAACAGATGTAATGAGCCGTATGCACTCAACTTCTTATTAAATGTAAATCAGCTCTTTTGTTTCCTGTCTTTTTCTATTGGAGGAACTGATTAATCCAGGTGTGCCTGACCTCAGTTACAAAGACTAGACACACCTAAATTAATCAGTTAATCCAGTAATAAAAAAGGAAACAAAAGAGCTGCCTTAAGTTCAGGAAGTAATGGAGTTGTGCACAGAGCCCATTGTGTAACAAGGAAAAACATTTATATAGGCGATTATAGTAAAATACCTTTTGTGTTTAAAATTAAGATTATAAAACAAGAGGTATAAAAATCAGCTAAAACACACTGAAATTCAAAACGTAGATTGTAACCCATCAGAACATTCATCATCGTCGATTTCAATCACATTGTTCTTGTGCCAATTATGATGATCAATTTTTAGTGCAGCTTTAATTATATAGACCATTTCATTGAATATAAATGGTGGAATTTAAGTGTCAGTGATATAGAGAATAGCAAGAAATTAACCATGAAGGCCACCCCAGAAATATAATGTACAGCTAAATGAATGAAAACAAAACTGCGTCAGACGGAAGGTAATAAAACACAAGAATCTGACAAGATCTCTATCAAAGGTAGATAATGACTGTGAGGATGCGAGGATAAAAATTTGATAACAGAACCAGGCGTGCTAGAAGAGACACTTAAATAGCCAATATATATTTATTTAAAGTACAAAACCATGGAAACCTTATCAAAAGCAATCCATTTGATTTTCACACAAAAAATGGCTTCAGACTGATAAAAAATACTGTTTGGGGGTCAAGAATCATAAAAAGAAAGCAGCAATATATATGTTTCTATTAAAACTACAAGCTAGTGAATCTTTTCCCAGTAAAAAACATCTCATCTGCTTATATCACACTGGCAAGCACAAAAAACCATAAAGCCATTAATGATTAACAGCCTCTTTGCACACAGTAATCTGCCTTTTAAGACCAATGTACAGTAACATTTAACTACAAGATTATACTGATGTGCTCATAAGGATGCTGTAAGGTTGATAATCCAGTAAACCAACTTTCAGGACAAGATCATTCATCTATCAGCTTCTTAAACAAACAGAAATAGCCTCAGAAAAACTAGGTTTGAAACAAAGAGATGCCCTTATGATATTTGTTGAAAATATTGGATCACTAACCTCTTGAAGTCTGTGTCTGGACCATGGCCTTTTCCATGTGACCAGACACACAGACTATTGTTTTTCACTTTCTGACATCCACAATCCTGCTGTGATTTCGGTCCTTTTCCGGAGTCTTAACACCCACATCATCTTCAGCTCCTACCTGTTTAACTGAGCCTTCGCTAAAGACACAAAAAGCATCTTGCTGCCCGGTTGAGAAATGCCATAGGGGAGCAAAGGTTGTCGAGGCTAATCATTAACCTCCGAGTTAAGATGTCTCTGCATCATTACAGGTAGCTGGCTGATTCAGGAGTTTGGGTTCAAATGGACTGCTACTGTATGACAGCTGGATTTCCACATTGTCATTTATAAATTCCAAAGGTAAAGAATCCCAATTACTCGCATTGTTGGCAGTAAAAACTGTTTATTAAATCAGATGAGCATGAAATTGAGGATTGTGGATTTTTATTTACAGCAATGACCCGTCCTTGTACAGAAAGTCATATACTGTTATTGCTGGACGGACAATCCTCTGTAACGATTGATTTTACAGTTTTACAGAGCTTTATGTTTTCGACTGAAGGTGCTCTCTGTGGTTCTATGGTTTATTGGGTGAAAGGTTTACTGAGGAATTTGTGTAACAAGCCTTTACTTGGAGGAAATATTACCATTATATGCAGAAGATACTTGGATACATCTACTATTAATACTGTGGATGTTATTTCTCCTTAGAAAATGTCTTATTGTCCTTGAGGAATTTAAGCATTTCTTTTAAATTTAGAAATCTTATCTAAGTTGTACCAATCCTGAAATATTGGTTGACCTGTATTTATTGACATAGCCTTGAAGAATTTTACAATTCCGGTGTGAAAATACTTGTTGTTTGGAAAACTTGCATAAACTTGCATATATATATATATATATATATATATATATATAAAATATATATATTTAACTGAGAAATATTCAACATTTGTGACCCTGCTTGAAGGTTTGCTGTACATAATGATGATGTAGTCTATTAAATTTAATTACATTAAGCTAGTTTTTAATAGGATAATCTACACTTTCTCTCATGTGCAACCCCTACATTCTGTTTGTTGTACAGTGACCTTCTTAGCTTACACATTCCTGTTAAAATATCAATTTCCATGATATCAAAAAATGTGATTATTAAAAGAAAAATACAACAAATCTTTCATCTTTAGGGTGATATCAATCATCTTTAATTTTACTGAAAAATCAAAGCGATGTGTTAACGAAAGGCCAGGCAATTCTATTTATATAGCACATTTCAGGGGTAAGACAAAGTGTTTTATATGAGAAAAAAACAAGAAAGAGAACAGACCATAGCAGTGCTTCAGATGCAACACAAATATTGAAAGAGAATAAAAGTGATGCATTAAAATAAGAGGATTATTCATATTAAAAAGGGATAAAAGATTAAGAAAATGAAACTGAGGTTAGACTGGATACTTAACTAAAATAGTTAGATAGCAAAATCAAAAGGAAATTCAAAACCAATATGTTTTTAATTTAAAACAACTGAGGATTTCAGTGCTTTTACAACTTTCTGGGAGTTTACTGCAGATTAGTGAAGCTTAGGAACCCCCGGTCCTCTGATGAAATTTAAATGTGCAGCTGCGTTATCTGCATAGTTATCGTAACTTAAATTGTTTTTTTTGTTTTTTTAAGATCTGAGTTAGGGTTAATAGATATTCATTAAAAAAGGCCCTAAGATGGACCCTTGGGGAACGCCAGACCCAGCTTTCCGAGTGGTGTAATGAAAGACTGTCATCATTAGTGTTGAATGCTGTATTATTAGGTTCACTAATACCAGCACCCTGGTTCTTTTACAGGCTGCTTTTATAAGGATGTCACTGAACATCTTGACAAGTGCAATCTCTGGGAGCATGAAAGCATGACTGGAAGACGGGTTTATGTGGAAGTTTTTTAAAAGTCCTCTGTGGTGATGGGAGACATATTGTGCTGCTTATCTCGGGCTGATATGTTTGACCAAAAATACATGGCAAAAAACCTATGAAGAAGTTCATGTCCAAAATTTTTGCAACTTTGGCAACGAGATAAAAAGCTAAGAGTGAAATAATCTTGGCATGGAAGAGAAGTATCCTCCAGTTGTAGTAATATTAGGAGAAGAAATAAATTTTAAAAAACAATGACATAACGACGTTGCATTAGCTTTGGTAAAGTATTTATTGAGTTTACTTTCAATGTTCAGTCTTCTTCTTGCCTAATCACCATGCTAAATCAACTGTGTGGTGAAAAGCATTCAACTATGCAATCCAGTTAAATAAATGAGATAGATTCACTCAGTCGGCATTTAACTATCCTTCTTTTCAAAGAGAAAAGAAGACAATCATAGCAGCCTAATAGCTCAATGCCTCTCTCCCTCCCACATTCAGGACCTAGAAGCTACACCAACGTAGAATCTCCAGACCTCCTGCATTACATTAATGCAGTCTACTGTGTATATAGTATATAGCTATATACCATATATTGTATATAGTATATTGTATGTTTTATATTGTTTATAGCTATAGATCCTGTATTCTGTAGATATATCTAATTTGTCTGCACCATCAAGACCAAGCCAAATTCCTTGTAAGTGCAAATCTACTTGGCAGTACATCTTTTGATATCAGTCTGGAGAAGAGTCCAGAAGGTTTCACAGCATCATTTTTATTCTGTAGCACACAAAAAGCGTAAATAAAGAAAATATTAAATATCAGTGTGATTCCTAAAATTTGACTTTTTTTCAAGATGTTTAAACAACATGCAAACTGGTCAAGAGGCTATAAGCAACACACAAAGTGTAAAGATTTAAAAAAAAAAAACTCAAACTTGTGTGTATTCAGCTTTGTGTTTCCCACAAAGCTAAAATCTTAAAAGAATTAAATCTCAATGAATTGAAGCAAGAATTCTAATTACATATGGGATCAGATGAAGGGGGTCATAAACAGGAAATGTGCTAATGGATTGATTTCATGAACTTTTGTCAGGGAGACCAACTAAATATTCTCAATTTAGAAAGACTTCTACAAAAGACAATTAGTTAGTGAAGAAAGAAAATGAGAAGGAAAGTATTAGTTTGAGGATACTGTGTTGGTGAACCTGTTTTTACAGTCCAGCGGATTCAGTTGAATTGCACAGGATGTCAAATTGGACAACTGCTCCGAAGTATTCATCAAGGTTTCATTTTTTCAAACCCCGGTATTTTAATAGGGGTGTGTAGACTTGAGAGCATCTGTAAATTATTTACTTCTTTATCAAATCAGTCTGGATTGCAGCGAGTTTTATGTCATCATAAACCTGAAAGTGTGAGCACACCTACTCTTGCTCTTGCATCACCTCTCTATCAGACCATATTTAGTCACACAATATAAAAAAATGACTTTAAATTTACAATGTCTTAAAAGTCTATCTTTTCTTTTTCTATTTTTATTTCCTGGTCTTTGTTTCACCTGCCAAATAAACTTACCAAAGAAGTGAGCGCTCTCAGAGATGGAGAACTCATCGCTGGGTGGGATTTGCAGCGGTCCCACCACATTGATCTCGGGGCCCTCCCACTCATTCATTCAGAGGCGTTTTTGTGGTACCAACTTAAAAAAAATATGTCTGTGTTGTGATATGTCTGTGTTTGCTCCTGCAAAAAAAAAAAATATATATGCATGATTTTAGTAACTTGCTGCAGCTTAAAGAAAACCCCAAAACAATCAATAAACCACTGAAATCCCTGCAATAATGATGGTGTAATTAATCACATACACACCTGACAGGTCTGGTCTCCCACACAGAGATATGACGTCCAGTAGCTGTAAGCAGGAAGGAAAAGAATGAAGGACAGGTCATTGCAAGGCCTTATTAACAGCAAATCATAGAAGACAGACAGGCTGCTCTGTATTTTCACTTCTTATATCTTCTCTTTTCATCATGCATCAAAATCTTCAGCTGATGTGCAAGATCTCTGATGTCACTGCCCGTGTACTTGTTAAAGATCTTTATAGTTAGTTGGACTATAACAAATAAAACCCAGATGCATTTAAAGATAATCAAAAAGTTCTACAATATTCTCCTTTAGGAAGGTCACAAAATGGTCAAATTGGACATTATTGACAGCAAAGCCACATCGCTTTAATTAAGTCAGTGTAATTTCCCTTGAGATAAAAAAAGCAGCCCACATGGATTCAGTAACCTTCACCCCACATAAAAGCTAAGCATACAGTGGCAGTTAATATAGGCATGAAAAAGGAAAGTGTGTTATCTGACCTGTTTTAAGCAGGAGAATAAGAACAGAGAGGATGATCAAAGCAGCACAAAATAGAATCAAACAAAACAGATCCAAAAACAACAGATAATTCTGGGAAAAAGTTTTTTAACCTGTTGTAGTTTTATAGTAGAAATCAGAGAATCTATAGGCTGCCTTAGAGCTGCACTTATTTACATGTCTCCTTTTAGTGTTTTGTTCTTTATCTTCTTTTTTTAATAACTGTTTCTATCTTTTGTGTGTGTGTTACAAATGGATTTTTATGTCGGACTCAGGAGACAGAAAAAAAGATCCTTACAGGAACAAAAAAATATTAAGATAATGTTTTATGATGAACAAGATATCATACAAGATATCAGATAGCCAAAAGTAATAGATAAACATCATATATATTCCCCGGACGCCGCACAATGGCAGCCCACTGCTCCCCAAGGGGAGGGGTTAAATGCAGAGAAGTAATTTACCTCTGGGTTTATTGAAGTATAAAAAAAAAAAAATACAAAATAAAATCATCTCCAGCTCAAAAGAAATACAGGAATAAAACAGAAATCTTTCAAAGTTATGCACAAACTTTTCAAAATGTCAAACAAAAGAAAATTTAAATCTGGACGTGTTTCCATCCGTTGAAGCAAGTTAACCACCCAATTTAAAGCATTGAGATAATGATATGGTTTCAAAATAAACATTTAGGTTAAACATAGCAAATGCTTTAATGTAGCGGACTTTTTCTTTCTAACATTTTAATTAATTTACTTTTCATATTGTTAGTCATCCACCAATTAACCCGGAAACATCTGTCACAAAAATTGTACTACAAGCCTCATTCTTCATATTTAGTAAGAACTCATTTATGTCAAACGATTAAATAAA